GGGGCTGCTGATGGGTGGGATAGGTGAGAGGGTGGGGCTAGTGAGGGGCGGGGCTGGTAAAAGGAATGGGTTGCTGAGGAATGGGGCTGCTGAGGGATGGGCTGGTGAGAGAGTGGAGCTGGTGAGGGGCGGGGCCGGTGAGAGGCGGGGCTGCTGGAGGGTGGGGCTGCTGAGGAATGGGGCTGGTGAGAGAGTGGAGCTGGTGAGGGGCGGGGCTGGTGAGGGGCGGGGCTGCTGGAGGGTGGGGCTGCTGAGGAATGGGGCTGGTCAGGGGTGGGGCTGGTCAGGGGCGGGGCTGGTCAGGGGCGGGGCTGGTCAGGGGCAGGCCTGGTGAAGGGCAGTCCCGTGACAGTTAGAGCCAGTGAGTGGGACGGGCCTGGTGAGTGGGGCGGTGTTGCCAGAGGTGAGGCCAGTGAGGGCCGGGGGAAAGGCAGCCGGGATTTCCAAGGTCATTGTAGCCCCTCCTTCCAGCCTGGAGTGGCAAGGCTGGGTGATTTCCTCTTCAGCCCTACCTGGCCCTTCCCCGACCTGGGTCCCTTACCCCACTCATCTGTGGTGATCTGCCTATCAAACACCCACTGGGTTGTGAGGTTCTGTTGTGGTGGGGAGCATGTCCCTGACATCTTTGCACACACATACCCCCATGCCCTGTATAAGAAGGTGCTCCATAAATGCATGTTCAGCCTTTGTCTGTGAGCACAGCCCAGCCTCTCCCAGAGCCGTGTTGGGACTGGGTTTGTCCGAGGGAACGGGAGGGAAGGGCAGAGCGGGCTGGCCCGGCAGCCTTTACCTCACGAGGTTGGCGCAGGGCCCCGGCCACCGGCAGCTCTGGTACACGCGCTGGACCACCGTCTCCGAGCCATTCTGCACCTGGCAGGACACCGTCCTTGTCACCGTGTGATGGCACCAGTGCCTGTGGAGAAAGCAGCAGTCACGTGAGCCCTGCCTGTTCCCAGAGGTGTCAACTTAGGGTCAGGAGGTCATACTGGACAGGGAGGGGCCCCGGCAAACCTGGGATGGGGGCTCGTTCTCTTGGATCAGAGTCCCATTGAGACCCTTTGTCTTGGTCTGAGGGGAAGAGAGAACACTAGCAACCCTTGGCCACCAAGCCTTGCCATCATTTCAATCATTGACCACTCAGTGTGGAATTAGTGAAAAAGACTCAGCCCTTGCCAGGCGTGGTGGCTCACGCCTGTAATCCCAGCACTTTGGGAGGCCAAGGTGGGCAGATCACCTGGTCAGGACATCAAAACCATCCTGGCTAACACGGTGAAACCCCATCTCTACTGAAAATACAAAAAAT